AGCTAGCTGGCTAGCCACGTGGCTGGCTAGCTAGCTAGCCAGCCAGCTGTTCAGCTAGCTCTCAGGCTGGCCAGCGAACTATCTGGCTAGCTGCCTGTCTATCTGGCGACCTCGCTGGCAAGCTGGCTAGCTATGTATCTGGCTAGCTAGCTGGCCACTGCGCTAGCTCGCTAGTTGCTGGCTAGCGAGGGGGCTAGCTAGCTAGCTGGCTAGCTAGCTAGCTGCAGAGGCCTTGGAGGAAAAAGAAAGTTCTGAAAGTCTTAAATGAGAAAAGACTCAAAAAGTGAACTTTGGAAACATTTGAAATAAAATTAAATCCAGTAGGTCAACAAAGCTCTCAATATGGACGCAGCATGCATAGCAGGCGCTGCAGCAGCTAGCTAGCTAGCCACCTCTAGCTAGCTAGCTTGCTACCTAGCTAGCCCCGTGGCCAGCTAGCTAGCTAGCTAGCTGAACTATTAGCTAGCTAGCTTTGGTGTCAGCTCGGTGACTTTGTTTGTAATTTGTTTTGTCTGCGAGGTATCCCCCCAGCCAGCCAGCCGGCCAGCCAGGCAGCTAGGTAGCTAGCTAGCTAGCTACCTAGCTAGCCAGCTAGGAAGCCGCCCAGCTAGCTAGCTAGCTAGCTAGCTAGCCACCCAGCTGGCTAGCTGGGTAGCCACCCACCTCGCTAGCTAGCTGGCTAGCTAGCTAGCTAACCACCCAGCTAGTTAGCTAGGTAGCCACCCAGCTAGCTAGCTAGCTGGCTAGCTAGGTAGCTAGCCACCCAGCTAGCCAGCGAGGTGGTTAGGTGGCGAACTGTTGTCCGCTGGCGGAAAGGAAAGCTGCTGCAGTGTAGTCGTATTCCTGTTGGGCGTTGGGCCCGTCTTTGAATGCGAGCCACCAGACGGCGACTCCGAGGAGAGCAGCAGCAGCAGCAGCAGCAGCAGCAGCGAAGTAGATGAAGAGCCCGTTTTGCTGCTGCAGCTGCTGGCAGTAAGGCCCGTCGTCGCCCTGCAGCAGCTCCGCAGAGTCCTGGCAGACGCAGGAGTAGCCTCCTGCTGCAGTGCGGAAGCAGCTGCGGGCCACGGCGTCGGAGCCGCAGGGCTTCCTGCTGCAGTGGTCCACTGGTCTGCAGCGGAAGGGAGTGGACCCCTGGCCCCTCTCCAGCAAAAAGCCTTTGCTGCACTCGCAGGCCACGCCGCCCTCGGGCAAGTCGGTGCAGCGCAGCAGCCCCTGCTGCCCGCAGGGGCTGCTGCTGCAGAAGTAGCTGTTGCTGGCTGGCTCGCACACCGGGCCTGCAGCGGTGGTCACTGCAGCGTGACCACTGGTGCACACGCATGCGTAGCTGCTGCGCCCCACATCCACGCACTCCGCCACCCTCTCGGGGGCCCCGCAGGGCCCCGGGGGCCCCCTTTGGCACGGCGGGATCTGCAGGCACTCCAGGCCCTGGGCCTCGTACCCTGCGGGGCACTCGCAGTGCGCTGCTTCTTGCTGCTGCACGCAGCGCCCCGGGCTGCAGTGCCTGCTCCCGCCGCTGCTGCTGCTGCTGCTGCTCCCGCTGCCGCTGCTGCCGCCG